CTCATGTATTGAGAATGGCTGCAAATCCCCTTTTATACAATGCTCTTGTCCTTCTTTATAATATTTAATGCACTGGTGTAGTGATGATGAGACCATGTTATGTTCATGAATCCAATGTCTACCAAGTAAAGCGTTAAATGAAGTTTCTGCGTCGATGATATTGAAATTTGTGGTTATCCAGAATTTTGGTGGAAACCTAATTCTCTAAAACACTAAACCGAAAGCTATTCTTTGTTATTTCCTCCTAACAAAAACATTTATGGACTAATTATATCATATTCACTTAAATTAAATTTTATTAATCTTTTTTAAATATATTGGCCATAAGTTTTAATACATAATCATACTTTTAATGACCTTAAATTAGTTTAGCTGAAACTTAATAGTTAACTAAATAATTTAATCAAATTGTCAATTAATAAATCAACATACTAAATAATTAATTAATTAATTCCTCAATTTCTTAATTAATATTTTAATTAATTATTAGTTTAACTAGATAAAAATTAATCTAATTAAATATTAAATTTTCAATAACCTTAATTAATTATAAAATTAAGTAACCTATAAAAAGCTAGTATACTAAATTTAATAAAAGGGAAAAAGGAAGGAATATATTAATTATATGTTAGTATATGTATATTAAGTATGCATGCATATAAAATTATTTTCATATATATATATCCCACAGCCTCTACTAAAATGGTAACCTAGCCGCTTCTTCTGTTTTTGGTTTTTGTTTATTTTGGTATTGTGGTTGTGAACTTCATTTGCTAGTGTTTGGAGCTTCCTTCATCAAATTTTCAAATTTTCACTATTTCAGTGGGTTACTATTCCATTGCCGCCTTCTTTATGGAGCATCCTAAAGTGGGCCAGACCCCTTACCTGAGGTTTATATACATTTCCTTTGCTGATGTGGTGGCAAAAAATTCTGATTTACTGAGTGAAGATGCGTACAACTTGGTTTTTCCTCAAAGGTATCAAGATGCCTTTGAAGGGAAGGGGAATTGTGCCTTTGTTAGAAAAACTAGCCGCAATAGTGGGAAGCCATCCTTTTTTATCTCTGAAAAATGATATTAACGCTTTAGTTAATAACTACAAATTCATTATGGTTGGAAAATTCCAGCTGGGTCACCCTAAGAAAGAGTTAATGAGGAGAGTCTTTTAGGATTTGGAACTTGTTGGTGATTAGAAGGTAAGGCTTTTTTATGGAAGGCAAGTATTCTTAAGTAAATACATGAAAATTGATGGGAAATTTATAAAACTTATTAAATGGTCAACAAATTTTGACCCCCACATTTGACATACCTGATTCAGATTCCTAGGGCTCGAATTACATATATTTAGCCATCAAATATTATTCTCCTCAGGTTCAATACTTGGAAGGCCTATGAAGCTTGATATCCTTAACTATAATCTAACTAGACCCTTAGCTGCTAGAATTTTGGTCGAGAGAGAAATTACATTACCTAAGGTGGATGAGATTTGGATAGGTACAACTCACAATGGCTAGTAGCAGCAAGTGGTGATGGAATAAAGACCTTGGTATTGTGTGAATTGTAAAATGTTTGGGCATAGTATGGACAAGTGACACCTCTAAAAATTATCTACTTTTTTATATATATTTTATGCTCAATTTTAATGATTTTTAATGATATTACACTTTAAAGAAATTTATTTTGCATATTTTTTATTTCAGGTACAAGAAATGGACTTTTGGAGAAAATAAAGCAAAAATGGTGCAATTTGGAGTAAAAACGAGCAAGAAAGAAAATTCTGACTTGACACATTTCGATATGTCTTTTTATGCTTAATCTACTTTACATTTCTCACATATTTTTGAATGAAATTATACTTTAAAGAAAATGTGTTGTTTTCATGCTTATTTTCATGCTTATTTTATAGGTATATCTGTTAGGAGCAAAACACAACTGAAATGGGGCAACAGAGCTGAAACAGAGCTAAATGGAGCAAAATCGTGGAGCTGCTGCAGGGTGACTCCTGAGGTGCCAAAATCTAGAGAACTGGCGCCTGAGCCGCCAGAGACGATATTAAACTGATTAAGGCGGTTCAGGATGAATTTTGAGCGTATTTTGAAGGCTCCAAATGATTCAAACGCCCATGGAGTGATTCAATGAATCTAAATACTTTGGAAGACACTTTAATGAAGGGATATGTCTCTTAAATGAATGGACATATCTTTTGGAATTCAAAAGATGTGACTTTTGGAGAGAATTTAAGAGGGCATTTTGAATTCTTTTTTAATGGAGGCAACCCCTAATTAAAAAGGAGAGGAGTCTAGGGCATGAGTGTGGCGTGAGAGTGAGAGGAAGGCTTTGGATAAGAGAGGATTTTCTTCTAAAGTTGTAAGAGGAGCGGGAAGGTGAGAGATTTCTAAGAGGGAATTTTGAATTCTTTTTTAATGGAGGCAACCCCTAATTAAAAAGGAGAGGAGTCTAGGGCATGAGTGTGGCGTGAGAGTGAGAGGAAGGCTTTGGATAAGAGAGGATTTTCTTCTAAAGTTGTAAGAGGAGCGGGAAGGTGAGAGATTTCTTTTTCATTATATTTCTAGGAGAGAATTGAGTGTGATTGTAAATAGAGAAAGCGCTTAAAGAGAACTTCTTCTAGGGATTTGCTTGGGAAGAAGTGTAAGATAAGTTTTGTTCTTTTCTTTCTTTATTTTGTACACTTATTTTTATATATGAAATCCGTGTTTTGTCGTATCATTCTCATGAATTCTGATTAGCCTTATTTATCCTTCTCCCTAATCTGAGATATGGTTTTGTGAAGAATTAATTTTGTTTTATACGATTTTTAATGTAAATAATTTTTTTATGGTTCAAACTGTGATCTTCATTTACTTTTTGATTTGGCAAATTAAAAGGTTAAAATGTGTTGAGAAACATATGATCCGAAAAGGGCTATGATTTCTACAACATAGTGAGAATTACATTGGATTCCATGAGAAAGGATGTCATCCATGGGGTTGAATGCAAATAAATAGAGAAATATATTTTGTTGGATGCAAAATTGGAGATTTTAAGGTGACTGATTAAAATCCCCAATTTGATCCAGTTGATTGGAAACTAATGCAAGATTGTTAGCCCTCAGGCGAGGGAGTAGTGGGAGCTTTGGAGTGACAGTCAGTATCGTCCCAACCTAACCACTGAATTAAGGACCAAAATTTGGATTAGTCAACATTCTTTATGCACTTGAAAGAGGGTAAAGAATAAGATTGCTCCTATTTGACACAAAACAATTTTTATATATTTTCAAATTATTTTAATTTTTTCACATTCCATATACTCATCGTAAAGGGGAAGGATGTTTTCTTAATTTGAACTCTTCATTTCAAAACTTTATTTAGTCTTAAAATCTGGTTCTTTTAGTTACATTTTTGTTAGCATTCATTAAATCCACTTTAACTTGTCTTTCTTACTTTAATTTTATAGTTTGAATGTTATGATTTATGCTATTATCATAAGAATTTCCATCTTCCAACTAAGACTTGATAGTAGTAGACTAGAATTAGCCTAAGGGATTTATTATTGCGCTTCTCTGTGTGATCGATACTGGGGTTTTTAAGGAAAACCCTATATTATTTGAAGTGATACGTGCACTTGCATAAATGATACGTGCACTTGCATAAAGCACTTGCATAAAACCCATAGTGTGTGAACTATTTTAGATATTTTATATAACATTTTGATTTTGCACATTAAATACTTAATATAAATTGGGTCATGATTTTGGTCATATCTTTAGAATGATTTTGGCTATCTTTAGAAGCTAAATTACTGCATAAGTTTGGGATGGGACAAGTTTTTGGCAATGTTACCGAGGGTTTAAATTGATATAAAATACGCAGAAAAATATTACACACCAAGGGCGCATCAAAAAGTGCTATAGTCTTCATCCAAATATCAAAAACAATCTCTCAGTCCACATTGATGTCTTGGATGAGAAATACAAGATTAACAAGCCAAAGGGGCTAGAAGAAACTAATGAAAATCTTAAAGACACACTAGACGAGGAGGAAGGAAACAACAGAGTTGTGGCTGAGTAAATCCAAATGCTAAAGGAGGGGTGTAGAAATAATGATGTTGGAGAAACAAAAGTCTTACAACAAATTGAGGAAACATGTATAGGTGACATGGAGTGTTTGCATTCTGAGGAGAAAGAGCCAAATGTTGAAACTCAGGTTTCCTATGTGAATGCTACTGATCAAGACATAACACAAGTAGGTTTTTTAAATCAAAATGATAATCAAACTGATATTCAACTTGATGAACACATTATAACTGAAATGGGGTAGGCTTTAGAAGAGTAATGGAATGTCCAAGAAGTTAGGAAAAGATGAAAGGTTTACTGGAACTTAGAAACCTGCATGATGATAACTTCACAGTGATAGGAGGCAGCTCTTACAATTTGAACGTTGACTTCCTATCTAGGCTCATTAGGGGGGTGAAGGCTTCTCTCAATGATTAGACTCCTTTGCTGGAATATTAGGGGAATCACATGTCCTACTTCTCCTAAAAGACTCTTACAACCAAATAGGATATATAAACTATGGTGCTTTGTTGTCTTTTAACCTATGATATCTAAAAATACCAAAA